AATTCACTCAACTAAAAAAAAAGCCACCTATGTGTCAGGATTTATATTTTTTTAAAGAACCCTGAATAGCAAAAGATGTACTTTATCTCTTCTGTAAACAGAAAAGAAAGCACTTGTAAATGAAGTGGCAAATCATCAAGTACATAAACTTGGGATGAAGAACAACCTCAATCTATTATAAGTGTTCCCATCACTCAAAAGAAATGCATTAACTTTTTCCAAACACTATGACACAGAAAACAGACACAAAGAAAGGTGGTCTCAAAAATGAAATCCATTCTTTGTAGCCTCTCAAAACATTATCCTATTTACCAGCATTCAGCATTTGTTCTTCTAGTGTCCTTAAGGGAATACTGTGTTGACTTGCCTCTGCAGAACACCAGTTAATGATTCTCAGAATAATGCAGACTAGCCCATTCCCCCAAGTACTCCATTAAAAAGATACTTGAATGCACCCTTGCACACAAACTGAGAAAATATACCTAGCAATGCATTTTCAGACTACTACTACTTCCATGCTGTCAAGTCAACTCTGACTTATGGTAACCCTCTGAATGAGTTATCTCCAAAACATTCTGTCCTCAACAGCCCTGCTCAGCTCTTGTAACCTCAAGCCTGTGGTTACAAAGTCAATGTACAGTATCTGGAATTTGCTTTTTTGGAATTTGGTATTCTGCTTTTCCTGCTGCCTTCCACCTTTTCCAGCATTATTGTCTTTTCCAGAGAATCTTGACTTATAATGATTTGCCCAAAGCCTCATTTTCAGCATTTTTGTCTCCAGAGATTCTTCAAGTTTGATTTGCTGTAGGATCTATTTGCTTGCCTTTCTGACCATTCAGGGTATCAACAAAACTTTCTCCCAGTACCATATTTCAAAAGAATCTTAAATTTTAAAGTGCTGTCAAGTCACCCCCATCTTATGGTGACCCTATGAATGAGCAACCTCCAAAATGTCTTGTCCTCAGCAGCCCTAATCAGCAATTGCAGAATCAAGCCTATGACTTCCTTTAGTGTGTCAATCCAGCTCCTCTTTCATCTGAATCTAGTCTGTCTCTCTGTATGATACATTCTGCATACAGATGGAACTGATAAGGGTAGGAAGGAAAATTGGTGAAAGAAACGTTAGTAATTTAAGATAGGTTGGAGATACCATCTTGCTGGCAGAAAGCAGCAATGACTTGAAATGACTTCTGATGAAAGTGAAAGAAGGAAGAGCCAAAGCAGGACTGCAACTGAACATTAAGAAGACAAAAAACATCATTGCTACAGTAGAACTACACAACTTGACAATGAATAAATTGAAATGGTTAAATATTTTGTATAACTGTTGAAGTGAAAGAAGGAAGAGCCAAAGCAGGACTGCAACGGAACATTAAGAAGACCAAAAAAATCATTGCTACAGTAGAACTACACAACTTTACTATTGACAATGAATAAATTTAAATGGTTAAATATTTTGTATACCTAGTTCATTCATCAAGTGGAGACTACAGTCACAGAATCAGAAGAATGCTGAGACTCTGAAGAGCAACAATGAAGAAGGAAGAGCCAAAGCAGGACTGCAACGGAACATTAAGAAGACCAAAAAAATCATTGCTACAGTAGAACTACACAACTTTACTATTGACAATGAATAAATTTAAATGGTTAAATATTTTGTATACCTAGTTCATTCATCAAGTGGAGACTACAGTCACAGAATCAGAAGAATGCTGAGACTCTGAAGAGCAACAATGAGGGAATTAGAAAAGTGCAAGAGTGTGTCACTGGAGAGCAAGACCAAGATAATTCACACTATTGCATTCCCTATCACCATACTGTATATGGGTGTGAAAGCTGATGGGGGGAATTGATTTTGGAGCTTTCACTTCATTCATTCATTCATTCAAGAACTGCAGGTTCTTCATTATAGGACTCCTCTCCAAAGGAGCACTGCAGGTTCTTCATTATAGGATTCCTCTCCAAAGGAGCCTTTCACCCTTTTATCTCTTCTGTATGTATAGGTACAGTATTCAGAATATTCATCCTTTTATCTCTTCTGTATAGGTATTATGCATAGGTATTCAGAATACTGTTTCCACCTTCACTTTATTTTCTTCTGGTCAGATAATATGCTTCCCTGTTGATAATTTAGCATTACTAATCTAGGTTTCAATTTCTCTATGATTTCTTGGATCTTCGGTTTAAATTTCTCTTTGATTTCTTGGATCTTCTGAAAGATCCACTTCATTGTTCTAGATTTCTTTATATTGATGCCATTAATAGTTCTCTTCATCTCTACTATACAGACAGTTTTACTCACTGCAAAATTGTATTCAGGGTTCTATCACCTTTTACTTCTTGTTTGTCCTTTCAGATTATGTGTTTCAACCATCTAGGAGTTTCTTTTCTCTCTTTGATTTCTTGGATCTTCTGAAAGATCCACTTCATTGTTCTAGATTTCTTTATATTGATGCCATTAATAGTTCTCTTCATCTCTACTATACAGACAGTTTTACTCACTGCAAAATTGTATTCAGGGTTCTATCACCTTTTACTTCTTGTTTGTCCTTTCAGATTATGTGTTTCAACCATCTAGGATTTTCTTTTCTTTTTTACTATAGGAATTGTCTTTTTGCATGCTTCCCTAGTAATATCTTAGGTTTCACTCCATAGTTCTTCTGGTTCACATACAGACAGTTTTACTCACTGCAAAATTGTATTCAGGGTTCAGACCCTATTTCTGTCACCTTTTGCTTCTTGCTTGTCCTTTCAGATTATGTGTTTCAACCATCTAGGAGTTTCTTTTCTTTTTTACTATTTTATTTATGTATTTATTTATGTATTTATGTATTTATTTATTTATTTATTTATTTGATTTGATTTGATTTGATTTGATTTGATTTGATTTGTATCCCACCTATCTGGGCCACCAGCCCAGATAGGAATTGTCTTTTTGCATGCATCCCTAGTAATATCTTAGGTTTCACTCCTAGTTCTTCTGGTTCAAAGTCCATTTAGCAGTCCAAATCTGTTCTTTATGTTGACTTTAAATACATCAGGAATGTTGTTTAAATTATACAGTGGGGTCTTGACTTGAGAACTTAATCCGTATTGGAATATTTTGGCACTACAATTCTTGTAGTGTTCTTTTTCAGCTTTACTCTAATGTTGGATAGTATCAATTCATGATCACAGTCTGCTCCTGGCCTATTTCTGGCAGAGATATGCTGCTTCCAGGAACACAGACTATTTGATTTCTATATTGACCATCTGATGATGTCTACATGCACAGTACTGTTCAGTTGCATGAAGCATGTATTTGCAATGAACCAATTGTTCGTTTCACAGAATAATTTTCTTGTTTCATTTCTAACAACTAGGCCAAATTTTCCCAGGCTTTGTTTCTTACTTTTGCATTCCAGTTACCTATGATTATAAGCATATCTTCTTTGGTGTGTGATCTATTTGCTCCTGAATGTTTGTTTTCAATAAAAGCTTTCAGTTTCATCTTCTTTCACATCTGTAGTTGAAGCTTAGATTTAAATGAGTTTTGTTTATAGATTTTCCACACAATCTAATCGATATCATTTGGTCATTATAGCCCCAACTGCCTGTGCTACATCTAGTATTTCAGATTAGTAGCTAAGTTTTATTTATGAAAGTAATTATTATGCTTCCAAGAGAATATCAGCATGATGCAGTTATACTCATTCGGCACCACTTTTCAACGCTGTGGCTCCAACATACAGACTATGGATCTGCAGTCTGTTGAGGCACCTACCATTGCTGTAGGACAGAGGAGTACTCAATGAAATAGAAACACCACAGGAAGGAAGCCACAGCACTGAATGCAGCATCAAACCTCTGTAAGTGCACATTGCAAGAAAAGTCCAAGAAACCCTCCCTAACCTCACAACAACATAAGATGGGAAAGGGTGACAGCGGGTTTGATATATAAAAGTCCACAAATAAGTGGATCAAATACAGCCTGAATTCTCTCTGGAAGCAAAGTAAAGTAAAAATGACCAAACTGAGGCTATCATACTTGAGGCCCATCAGGAGAATTCCCTGCATGGAATTTCAGTTGTTTTTAAATATCTTTCCTAATTTAAGCTTTTATTGTTCAGGATCTGTGTTGCTTCACTTCATTTCATAATTTATTTGCTGTATGGCACTACCTTCCTCAGCAGAGGAAAGGTCCAGGGTTAGAAGGATTTTGATTTTCCTTGAAAACACCACTTCAATTTTAATACAATTGACAGTGGGTTTGATATATAAAAAGTCCACAAATAAGTGGATCAAATACAGCCTGAATTCTCTCTGGAAGCAAAGTAAAGTAAAAATGACCAAACTGAGGCTATCATACTTGAGGCCCATCAGGATAAGGCAAGATGTGCAGGAAAAGACAGTAACGCTGTGAGAAATTGAAGGCAGTAAGAAAAAGAGGAAGACTGAACATGAAATTGATTGATTCAGTAAGAGAAGCCACATTCTTTGGTTTGCAAGATCTGAGTGGGACTGTTCATGTTAAGACATTTTGTGAGTACTAATATAGCATGTAGGGTCAGCATAAGTCAGAAACAACTTGATAGCACATAACAAGGGTGAAAGTTGATTTGCTGAAAGTTACCCATATGGAAATGAGGGCATATACAAATGTAGGCCTCCCTACACCTGGTCTCAGACTAGGAGACTTAACACTTCTGGATATAAGTGAGATGCCAGTGATACAGAAGAGATTCTGTACTAAAGCCTAGTGAAATATTGCTGCCAAAGGAGGAGGTGAAGCTTGTAATCGGGCAGATCTCCTGGGCAAACTTCACAGCTTGTATTTATTTTTAAGCTTTATATCCCACATTTCTTCCAGACAGAATTCAAGGCAGTTTACAGCAACCGATAAAGCTAAAGTAAATCCTCTGACAGCCGTATCACACAGCAACATGAGATGGAGACAGCATACTGTCCTTAAATGTTACATACCTAACAACCTCAAGCATTTAATCCTTTTCCCCCCTCAGGAAAACTTGCAAAAGCACCTCGCTCCAACTGAGCATTCAGTCTCCTATCAATCCATCCCGCTCCTCCACACTGTGATGCGACTATCTGCCGTTGTCTCCGAAAGACTGTTACTTATCTGGACTTCCCGTTTTCTAATTATTTGATGAAACTAAAAGCAAGAAACTTCCCCACTGATGCCAAACTCAGTATTTAAATAAAACTTCAGGCAGCCATATCTGCCAACAGGATCAAGATGTATATGACCGTCATCATCCTTAAAATTTTATGTGCCTCACATCCCTGTGGATTAAATGCTTACTTCCCTACTCACTCACCACTAAAGGAAAAAGTGCCAGAGGTATATGAAAAATTTTTTGTCCATTTTCTTGCTTTCTCTGAATCTTACCCACATTATCTTCAAGTCTTCTAAACTGGGTTGCAGTTCTCCCTGTGTATGTGCTTTTCCCCGATGGAATTTCAGTTGTTTTTAAATATCCTTCCTAACGTAAGCTTTTATTTTCGTAACAGTTTCTTTTCAGGATCCGTGTTGCTTCACTTCATTTCCTAGTTTATTTGCTGTGTGGCGCTACCTTCCTCAGCAGAAGAAAGGTCCAGGGTTAGAAGGATTTTGATTTTCCTTGAAAACACCACTTCAAATTTAAGACATTTGTATAATGTTTCCATTCCTACCAGTCACAACTCTACTACATACTGTACATTCAAATCCACAGAG